TACAGTCCGGTGTTTTTGAAACAGTTTTTTCCCCCCAGCATTAAGAGGAGCCTCAGCTGACCCGTATCTCTCAGAAATGCAGGCTCTCTGTACGGCAGCAACTGGCCTTTACACTTATTTTCCTGGCAGTAAGTAGCACATTGTTGGTATCTCGGTAGCAACAAGCAATATGCCCTGCAAAAGTAACCAGCTGAGAACAAATTTGACCAACAAACCTTTGAAGATTCCCATATTTCACTGCAAAACTAGTTAGTCAAACCTCAGATCTGAGTGCAAAATGCTAAGCAAGTAATTATTGGCCTGTGTGCTTGAAATAAATTCTTTTGGTTTTAGATAATGACCAAGAAAAAAGGATTGAGACAAGAAAAGCTTTTTTTAGATGTTACACGTTTGCACGCAGATATAAACCGCTTACTTCATGTATAACATACATAGGTTTTCTGCGTGCTTTGGAGGAAGGAGGAGGAATATGAGTTTCATCTCTTTTCGTACGCTGCCCTAGCCCGAGGGACTCTGTGGCCTTGAAGCGCTAATGAAACAATCTGTCCGCTCGTCCCCAAGGTAAGCGTTCGATTACATTACCTGTGCAGAGGGATGTGACTGGCAGGTTTATTAACTAGTTAACTATCTTGCTTGCCAGAAGCAAGGCAGAAACGTGGTGGTTGAGCTGCTGAGCCTTAAATCTCACCTTTTCCAGTTCTTAGACCATTTCTCTGGCTTTATTGCTAGTCTGATCATTTCTTCCCCAGTTCACATACCCTTTCATCAGTAGCTCACAGCAGTATTTTCAGCTGAGCACCCACTAGTCCCATCTGCAAGCTAAGTTTGTACTTCCTGTTACAGTAGTTGACCTACCATAACGTTCCATAGGGCCCATTTCCCCTGCAGCCTTTACCCTAGGTGCCGGGGACAAGCCTGCGCATCAGCTTTTCCCTCTCCACAAAGCAGCAATACCGCACCGACCGGTAAAGTTTCTCAAGATTTGAAAGCACGGGTGTTCCACCTACCAAACGAGCCTATTGAGGGGCCCGCCCCCACAAAGAACATCATTCCTACAGTCACCGTCCTAGCAGCGTAAGGCTCGAGTTAGGCAGAGGACACGGGTCATCCTGTTAATGCTGGTGTGGAGATTTTGCTGAGCACGGTGTAGAGAAGGGAGGCTCCCACGCACCCTGGCACCACCGCAATCCAGCTCCGGGCTGCAGCTGGAACAACCAAAGGCATCTTCCAGCCTTCCTCCCTGCTGGTAGCGTGGCTGTGCCCCTGCCCTGCGTGATGCCCAGGGAGTTTGGGGTCTCCACGGAGGTGCTCCCTAACTGCCCGAGGACTCTCTTGGATTAAGTCTTATGGCTGTTTTATTTAACGAAGGATGCTAGAAAAAGGCAGTCCTGGCTGTGTTTGAAGGGGAATGATGAGTTTGCTGTACGTGTCCACCCTGGAATCTCACTGATTAAATTTATATCTAATACCAGATACACTGTCACAAAAGCCTCACCTATTTCGTTTGTATTTAACCCGTCCATCAAAAGTACCTGGAGGAAGTCCTGATCGGAATCTCACTGATTAAATTCATTATATCTAATACCAGATACACTGCCACAAAAGCCTCACCTATTTCAACAGTTTATATTTAACCCATCCAAAAGTACCTGGAGGAAGTCCTGATGAGAAAAGAATTAGAATTAAATAAACAAAAATACCTCTGGATTGAACGTGGTTGTACTGGAGGAACTCTGTGGACAGGCTTCCCTTTTCCCTCTGTCTTGCACTTATTTATGAAAGAGTTGGAAATAAGGGTCGCAGGAGCGGTACAGTGGCATGCACTGTAATGGAGCATTTGGAAATCTTTCCTTAAATGCAGTTGTTAAGCTTGAACTACCACCCCCTGCCTGCACTGGTACCTTTCTGAAGAGAAATACAGTATTGCTTTTAAAGGGAATTAAGCTCTGGCCACCTTTTTCACATTCGGTATGAAGACAGGCAAATAACTTCTTTGGCCTTTTTAAAGCAGCTTGTCACTACAGCCTCTAGAGAGACAAGTATAAAGCAGAGCACGTGCTGCACAGCGTATAATATTGAGTTTTAGCCACCTCAGATGGCAACTGGTTCAATTAGCGGGCATGAGAAGGCTTTGGTGATAGGGTGGGATGGTCACAGATTTCTTGTGCAAAGTCACGTAGCGGTAGGGTGACCCAAGAGTCAAACAACAGGTGTTTTATGGTCACAACTTGGCGGCGTAAAGTAGTCAACTATTTGAACAGGAAAAATATATCACTTTTTTTATGCTGCTGAGCATTTACGTAAGCCCAAAGACATGCCTCCCCCCACCTCCTCGAGTCTCATGAAAAGCAAGTAAACTTGCAGTGCTCTCCCGGGTCTGGGTTGGACACGGACTCCTCTGGTCCCAGCTTCACCCCAACCTTCTACCACAAACCTGCCCCAAGAGGGGCCGGGCAGTGGCCTGGTCTCAGCCCCGGGGATACCTGGAGGCAGCAGCAGGGACTGGGCAGATGGCTCCGTAGTGGCATGCAGCCAGGTAGCTTCAATCCACAGCAGAAAGAGGTCCAAAATCCCTGGAGACTTAGCAGCAACACTGCTTATGCTGCGAAAGATCGGAGCTGTGAGACCTGCAATGAAGCATCCCCCTTTTCTGCCGAAAACCTAGCATTTTAATCTAAAACGTAGGTGGCTTTTAGGCACCGTGCTGAAGATTCAAGCCCGCTGGCAGCTTCCCCTCCTGGCTGCTCCGAGCTTTGCTTCCACCATATCAAACCGGAGCTACGCCAAGTGACTTTGTCACCTGCGGTGCAGAAGCATCGGCGACAAAGGACGCTCTGCTTACGCGCACACTCATGCGCGTGTTTGCTCTTCTGGGCTGTGGGAGGGGATGCTGTTGCCCCGCTCCTGGGGAAACAGATGCTACCTACACACACAGCACAAGGGATGGGGTTTTTTTGTTTTAAAGCAGCTGCCTTTTTCTTCCTGCTCCTGTATGCAGTCACTACTGAAACAAAAATACGTATTTAAACCGGAAAAAAGGATTATTTTAGAACGTTTCGAATAGTCTCTAGAGATTTTAACATAGATTTTTTTATTAAATATGTAAAAAGATAAACGCAAGTCAAGTTATTCACATATTCAGACAAAAATCTACTCTACCATGCGACAATTTGTGGATAATGTAAAATGACTGATAAAGCTGAATAAGACTTTTGGTATCTATGATGTCATTACTTAATCTATTTATAATTAACAATACATATGTTTACATTCCTTTGAGTTTACATTTAATATATAACCAAAGCTTTATGGTGTGCTATTTAGTAAAGGTAATTACAAATGCATATTAAAACCATAACGGAAGAATGGGTTACTCGCAGGGGGGGTGGGGTG